AAGTTTTAAGATCAGCTAGCTTATCCTCACGATTTTTCTCCATTTTAGATCTGTTTACTTTATAAAGCTCTAAGACCCAAGACATTAGTGTTATAGGTGTTTAGAACATGTTTATATTTACGAATTTCCAACAACTTAGGCTTTTTCAATTTCGTCCACCAAAGCGTGAGAGCCTTGCTTTTTGCAAAAACGTCTCCTCGGGTGAAAAATATAATTTGTTTCATCAGAGTATGTCGCGCGCGTTAGCGTCTCGGCGGCGAAGGTGCATGGTCTGGTCTCTCAATGAAACAGACTATATGCTCTCCTAGATTCACAAAATGCAATAGTGAACATGCATTATGAGAGATTAATTGTAAATAGAATAGTTATAGGACTACTAGGAATTAAGTATTATAATATATACGTATCTGTTGTTAACTTTTCTGCTGTTTGTTTCTGTTTTGTATAAATCTCATTTTCACCTTCCTTATGTTTGTGCTTCTTCGCGAACCATTGATTTTGGCGCATATCTGTATGTTGTGCAATCTTAACTTATCCAGCATTCTAAACTCGCTCTCCATTTGAGCCAATGGTTTCTGAGGGAGGAGATTCGCCTGTGGGAGCAACAAATGGCGACCGTGTTTCTGAAGAACGCCTTTTTCAAGCTCTGTATGATATGGAGGTATCTTCTGTTCAGTAGAGTGTTTCCTTTGAATATCGCGCTAGGAGCTAGTTGCAACAACGAGATTTTCTCAAACATATGGAATTTGCTCAGATGTTCCATTATATGAGTTTACAAGCATTGTAAAGGCTATTGAAATAGAGAAACCTTCAGGTTTTCCGGTTGGGTGAATACTACTTGAAATCTGGACAAATGACTCCTATCTACATTGATCTTCGCCGCACCTTCAGCAGTCCAAAAACTTTGGTAAATATTCCTTATCCTTACATCTATATTTTCCGAATAGTACAGTGGTATTTAGCGCTTGGCTGCACAGACTATCTGCGACATTGTTATTGCCAAAGGGTTGCGATGCGATTACGTCGTCGGCGTCCCATATGCTGCACTACCTTTAGCAACGGTTGATTGCTTCTTTCTAGAGTTTAGCATAGCTAAAACATGGTCTTCCAGCATGTGAGCGATATTTTGGATGTACCAATGTTAATGAAGCGTAAAGAGGCGAAATCCTACGGCACTGGGAAACTGATAGAGGTAAATTTGGCGTTTTCAACATCATTTTCTCTCAAGTTGGATTTACTGAAGGGTGTGTATCAACCGGGCGGCACAGCACTTATTGTCGAAGATACCGTTACCAGTGGAGAGTCGATTCGTGAAACTGCTGAGGCTTTGAGGAAGGAGGGTTTAAAGGTATTTGGTGGCTTTTAAAGCTCTCTTTCATTTGAGTGACCACAAAAAATAGTATGGAAGATATGTCTTTGTTCGCGTTGTGATTGGACCTTTTTTGAGTCATATGAATGTCCTTGAGGTAACCGATGCTGTGGCAGTGCTGGACAGACAGCAAGGAGGTGCTAAGGAGTTAGCTAAGTATGGTATCAACTTTCACAGGTGAATAGTTCCAATTTTTATTTCAATAACTTTCGCACGATGAAATTTTAGCACGCTCACCATGGACAAAATTCTCAGTGGTTTAATTGCAAAAAAGCAGATTACTGAGGAGAGAAAACGTGAAATAATCGAGCATCTGAACAAGCCTTTCTAATTCAGTTCTTCAAATCTA